TGGGTGTTTTTTAATTTATTTTTTGCCGTCTGCAAGCCTCTTCGCTTAAGAATTACTCAAGAAACCATCGTTAAAATATCAAGATGTTCCCTCTTCTTTTTTTCTTCCTCTGAGTGACTTGGCAGCATTGTTTGAATTCAGCTGATTTCTGTGTCTTCTTGTCCTCTCGATGGGCATCCTGCCAGGTAGACGTTGCTATGACTCCCAACGCCACCCCCTTTTTCAGCCCCCCTGGAAGGTGGGTTTTTTCGTAGTTTTTTTTTCGTGTAATGCTCGGCGAAAGGTTTTATTTTAGACAAAAGATGTCCACTCGCCATTAGCTGAATGCTTCTGGACTCAAGTGACCCGCTGGTGAAGGTTTTGTGAAGGTGCCAGGACAGAAAGGGAGAAACTTGGAGAGCGATGCTGTAGTGAGAGTTCTTTCTCTTCTTTTTTCCTCTCTTGCTTTTCCTTGCTGAGAAAATGGCGGACTGTTCGAGACTTTTCTGATTTAGCAAAACTATTTGCCTCTGCACTTTTATTTGGTCGGTGTCTTTTATTAATTTCAATCTCAGAGAGGCTGTTTTTGGTGTGTTATGGGCTCAAACTGTTCCCGAAACTCCAGAAAAAAGTAATGATGTGGTAAATGAATGGGTACAAATCCCGCCGCCTACTTTGGCATGGCTCAAGTGTACCGCGAGTTTGGCGTATACATCCCGATGAACATCAGCAAGGAGGTAAAGCATTCACAGGACAGCAGCTGTTTGTAAAGCGCTCACTTTTGCCGGCTTGGCAGATTGTGTGTTGTCTTTTGGAAACATCATGTACTTGTCTAAGCTCACCATGTTCTCGCAGACAGTCACGCATGGCTTTCTCAGCCAGGGATGTGCTCAGACGAGCTGTTTCCGCTCAACATTTTTAATATCGCCTTAGTTTGAGTCTTTGTGTAGCCATCTAGTCATTTACTGATTGATTAAAGTAAAAATATGGTGAATGATGCATTACTTTGCATTACTGGGCCGCTAGGGTGATTTTAGAATGGGCTATATGCACAGCTAGTGTTTTTCAGCCAATGATATATGGTTTATGTGACTGTTTTTATTTTATAAGGTTTCTTTTGCAGGATTGATGTTGTATTGTAATTAAAATACATTCAGTTAAACAGATTTAAGCATTTATTTATTTAAGCATAAAACGAGATGAAAGACTGTTTGAATGCAAGCGCTGTCAGTAGAAGCAGGCTAGTGCAGAAACTCCATTGAAAATACTGTGGTAAAATACATTTACATATTTTAAAGACATGGTGCGAAACATGAAATTTAATTCAGTGCTTCAGTGATTTAATTCACCGGCCACTTTATTAGGTACACCTTACTAGTACCATTACTAGGGCATTCTCCTCTGACCTCTGGCATCAACAAGGCATTTGCGCCCACAGAAATGCCGCTCACTGGATGTTTTCTCTTTTGCAGACCATTTTCTGTAAACCCTAGAGATGGTTGTGCGTGAAAATTCCAGTAGATCAGCAGTTTCTGAAATACTTAGACTTGCCCGTCTGGCACCAGCAACCATGCCACGTTCAAAGTAACTTAAATCACCTTTTTTCCCCCATTCTGATGCTCTGTTTGAACTGCAGCAGATCGTCTTGACCATGTCTACATGCCTAAATGTATTGAGTTGCTGCCATGTGATTGGTTGATTAGAAATTTGCGTAAACGAGCAGTTTGATGGGTGTACCTAATAAAGTGACCGGTGAGTGTACGTTGAAATGTTACCTCAAAGAGTCCCACTATAGCTATTTGTGACTCCCTCCGCTTCGTGAATCATGCTAGATTCAATTATCCTGAAATAATGAAGTCTAATTTTTATATTTTTGTGTTTTTACTCTACTACAGTAAATAAACATTTGAAAGAATCCTCTATTTTTTTTTTTTTGGAAATTTTAGTGATTAAAAATATACATTTTGCATCTGTCCTTAAATTCCTTAAAAGCATTTAACTTGCTCTCGGTGATGTCCCACCTCTAGCGGGCAACTCTGGAAGTCATTAAGGCTTGTCATTATTCTTTTCCTATTCATTTGTACAAATGTTTTGGATAGACCGATAGTAAATTAATAATTTGTCAACTCTGCTATTGTCATATTTCACTGAATTTCTACTTTTCCGTTTAAAATAATAATACAGTATGTATAATACAGTATGTTAAAAATACATAAAGTATTGTTTTAGACATACCATGTAGCTAAAGCACAAAGTAGTGTAAAATGTCAACTCTATTGGTGAATTAAAACCAGTTAAAATGAAATACAATATAAATAAACTCTTGAATGAGTTTCTGACTTTTTTGGGGGGCTTGATTATCCAGTTCACATTATTCTAAAGACATTTTGTTTTTCTTAGTAATCATTAAGTAAAGTGTCATAATATAGCCACATCTGAAACGACGTTGCCTTTCTGTTGACATAATTTCATCTCCTCTCTTACAATTTTTCTTAATCCACTTCACACCTAATGGATAAAATAAAGTATGCATGCATGATATAGCAGCTGCCTTGTCAAGATCAGCTATAAAAATGCTTGTTTTTAATGTTATGGTTTTCAGCCTGAGAGGAAAATGATCTGCCTGAAATATTAAAGCTAATAAATAATGGATCTTTCCATCAGTTGATTTACTTAAGATGTGTGTTGCTGGCCATAAAGGTTTTTTGGTGCCTTACAAATGCCATGATGTGTCACATGCTACACGCATATGCTTTAGAGACGTTTAGAGAAAAACAAGATTTCGGCAATGTGGAAGATTTTCACAATGAAAAATGTTTTATTTTGTAAATGATTTTGCAAGATTTAGATATTTACATGTTTTTCTGTAGTTACGGTTTTAAAGTAAAACCATTGTCAGTTTACTTGCATTTTGTATTTAATGATTTGGCTTAGAGGGGTGGCACGGTGGCTCTGTGGTTAGCACTGTCGTCTCACAGCAAGAAGGTTGCTGGTTTGAGTCCTGGCTGGGTCAGTTGGCATTTCTGTGCGGAGTTTGCATGTTCTCCCTGTGTTGGTGTGAGTTTCCTCCGGATGCTCCGGTTTTCCCCCTAGTACAAACTCATGCGCTATAGGCGAATTGAAACTACATTGGCCGTAGTGTATGTGTGTGAATGAGTGTGTATGGATATTTGCCAGTACTGAGTTGCGGCTGAAAATAGTTGGCGGTTCATTCCGGTGTGGCGATTTCTGAAATAGAGACTAAGCTGAAGGAAAATAAATGATTGATTTTGGCTTAGAACAATTAAAATATGAATTTATACATAGTACAGGCCTGTAGGCAGCCTGATGAAAGGGGGGTTCTTTTTTTCTCAAAAAGTAGATCTTTTTGTAGTTATTCACCTTATTTTGTATTAAAGTATTAGATCTAAATACTGCATTTTAGTGATATTTGAAGCACTGTTTTTAGCCGGATTGGCCTGTCTGATGGTCATCATAATCACACTTTTTGATGTATCAAAAATATATCCTAAAGATTTGGAATAAAGAAATATGAATAACTACTTATTTTAACTATGTACATTTATGACATTATATCATTAGACCATAAATAGGAATCTGTTAATGTTTAAAATTAAAAACTGCAGCCTATTGTCATTTATTAGGCAAAAAAAAAACATGGCCAGCACATTTAACTGTCCTCAGTCAGAATTTAGCAATTTGAACACGTAATAATAATAATAATAATAATAATGTAGAGCTTTGCGATTTTACTAGTCTCTCTTGTAAGAAAGTACATTTGAAAATTCATGGCTAACCATAGCCAAATTAGTAACCAAATTAATTTAATATGGGCCGCTTTTGATGCTTCACTTTTTTTATTGGTCATTTTTTGTTTCAAGAATAATGTCCAACAATTTGAATAAAAGTTACGTGTTAAATGTTTTCTCTGTTTGACAACAATACAGTTGGTCCGTAGTAGTGAAAGATGATGTCACTCACGTCAGATTGTATTTTCTTGCACAGCTGGATATTGGACTCATGAAAAATGATTGTTTGCATCAGTCAAAACTGATTTGCCGAAGTTACGATAGCCACAGAGGATTCCAGGTCTTAACGCCTTTTTCGATGAATTATTTTCACTGTTTAGGATGGCATAGCAGTCAAAATAGGACAAATGAGCTCATATATGGGACAAATTCTGTATCTTTGTCAGTCATATATACATGTAATATATACTGTGAAAATATTTATAAATTAGCTGTTTTCTCTATTTTGTGACTCGTTTTTTATTTTTTATATGATTTTCAATTGTATTATTAGACCATATTATTGTCTGGGTTGGTGTTTTAAAATAAACACAAAAACCTGGTAATAAACTGCACAGTATTTCCTCTGTTATTTTTATGTACTGTATGTATTGTTGTATATGATCAAGGTCCCATTATGCAAAAACTGCAAAAAGACTATCACAAAATAAAATAATAAAGTTATTGACTTCTTTCCCAGAGATGGGTTGCGGCTGGAAGGGCATCCGCTGCGGAAAAAAATGCTGGATAAGTTGGCGGTTCATTCCGCTGTGGCGACCCCGGATTAATAAAGGGACTAAGCCGAAAATAAAATAAATGAATGAATGAATGAATGAATGAGTTATTGACTTCCAAATATAAAGAGTTATCATATTTTTCAAAATTTCCATTACTTTCCTCTTAACTTTATCAATAATTTATCAACTGATTCACTCGATCAAACATCCTGTTTTCTGTATTTGTTGTATTGTAAGCCTTTCCTGATGTTTTCATTTCTTTTTCCTTTACAGCACAAAAACTCCCAAGCAGATATGGATACGTCTCCACTGGAGCTCCACCAGGTCAGGAGATGTTGTTTTTGTCTATCCTTGCTTCTATATTTACCACGACTTCATGACCGTGTTTTGTTCATGCCGGGCAATGTTTCTGTGGTCTATCTGATCTGATAACTCGTCCACAGTCTGAGAGACATGATTTTTTGACCTGGTATCTGGTTTCATGAGAAGCTTTGACCACTTGTCACAAACCCGTAGATCCGATCTTGTGGCGTAATCGGCAACCCAAGCTCGATTCTGTGGGTCTCTGTCACTGTGGTGAACTCGACGCACTCTTTGAACTCAACAAAGCAGTGGTGCTTTTTCAGGTGGTGCACCACAGGGATTTAAAAAAAAGCAGAAACCAACAGCTAGCATCATTAACAGTGCACAGAGGAACATTTATATATACTTCTGTCAAACAGGCTCGCTTTTACCAAGTCCAATAATTTTACAGACGCAGGGTGTCCGCATGCTCTTAAAAAGTCTTAAAGTCCACATTAACCGGAAGCTGCGACCATTTTTTTCTGTATTGTGATGCAGTTCCTAGAGAAACTAAATATTAAATGAGAAAACAGTGGGTGTGGCTTGTTTTTTTACTGCTGCAAGCTGATTGGATGTAGTAAAGTAGACATTTTTGTTGGGAAAGACGCTAAAGGTGAGTTAAATAAGCTAAATTGGCTGTAGTGTATGAGTGTGTGGGAATGAGAGTGTGTATGGGTGTTTCCCAGTACTGAGTTGTGGCTGGAATAGTTGGCGATTCACACCTGAAATAGAGACTAAGCCAAAAGAAAATGAATGATGATTGAATAATATTATTGAATTATTTGCGGTCTTTTATAAGAAATTTGTTAACCAAAAAAATGTAATTGGATCTCAATTGTAAACCTAAACCCATTTAAACCCACCAGGAACAATAGTTGTGCAAGTTCGTACTTGCTGATAAAATAAAACCTATGAAAAATAAATACAAAACATGTACATATAGACGAATTACCATGTTTGTAAACAGTCAGGACCCGCACGCAGGGAGGTGGCAGAAAAAAAACGAGAGCACTAGCATTTACAGCGAGGGTATGACATCCGATGCGGTACAGAGTTTGTTGTTGTCTTAAAAATAAGATATATTGATTAAATATTATATATATTATTTACATAATGCTTTCAGCGTATCATAACAGCTTGTCACCCAGTGATCAGCACAGTGATTCGACAAAATTAACGTTACAGTGAGCGGTGTTCGTCTGACAAGTTCGTTTGCGATAGCACCCTCCTAATGGATCTTGGATAAGACGAAATGACCAAGCATCCAGCCCCAAATATACAATATACAAAAGCTCAAAGTGATTTTACAAGAGAGAAGTTATAGGCCTACAAGTCTCTGGATGCCAACAGTTTTGTTCTGTGTGGTCATGTGCAAGAGATAATGTTCTATGATTACCAGATGCAACATCATGTAGAGCTAAAAAAACGCATTCTGCACCTTTAAGGTTGGTTTTATATTCGCACATTCAGACTTTCTTCTTAATAATATAATTTCATAAAAGTATTATTTGCAAACTCTAAACAGCGAAATCATATTAGCAGCCAATGACTATCAAAGTACAACATTGTTCACAGTCAAATAAATGGTGTTAATGTTGTTTTTAAGTCACACTTGCAGGTTATTTCAGACTGAATATTCAAGTGCCGTGGTAAACAATATAGGGAGTGTGTCACAAGTGGTCACTGAATGAATGTGTGAATATAAAGCCAACTTTACCTTAATGACTTACACTTTCACGTTTCATTCTTAGCATTCAGTGTCGGCAGTTTAATCAACCATATTTACTGTTTTTTCTGGAATCATTGCTGCAAACAAAAATGAGTAGTGTGCATGATTCAGCATAGCAGGAACTTACCTGGTATAACATGAGAACTGCAGCGTGCAGAATTTCTTATTAGGTCGTCACATCATTCAGCTCCCTTTTAGCTAAAGATATCTGCAATTGGCATTAAATCAGTGTGGTGTACGGTAAAAGTTACGTTTTCTATTTTTGGACTTTTGAATTTGTCATCCTACTGCACAACACAACATGTTTGCCATTGCCACCGGTCTCTTTTTGAAACCGGGGACCTGTGTGAAGTCATGTGTGACGTATGTTGGTAATTCGTCTATAGGACACCATTAACAAGACTAACGATAATGAATCTTTGCTATAGCCAAAAATGCCTTTACACACTTTACAGACATTGTTTACACTGTTAGTCCATGTATTGTTATGAGTTGGTAACCAGGTTTTTTGTTTAATAATCCGGTGATGGACCATTTGTAAGTCTGAGAGCATCATATCATGCATATACAGAGTAATTTCTCCTCCGATTGCCAGAAGATGCTGGGTTTTTTTTGCTCCAGGATGTTCCGAGGAACAGCATTGTGGACGTGTGCATCCAGGCTGAGGTAGTAGGTTGTATGGTTTCGAATGACACCATGGGAGTTAACTGTACAACCTTCTAGCTTTCCTTGGAGTACACTCATTTCATCAAGGAAGACGACTTTCTTTCCACAAATTGGGAAGTTTATAAAAGCATCCATTTGATCCCTTAATACATTGTGTGTTCAGTTTTGCCACTTTTATATGCCTAAAGTGGATAGGCAGACAGGGGCTTTTAGGATTTCAGGGAAAATGATTTAGAATAATGCAGATAATTGAACTTTCCTGAAGGTTCCAATTGGGTGTTTTTTTTACTGCAGTGCCATAGAAAAACCCTTTTTGGCTCCTCTACAAATCCAGAATCAGAAGGCCAACACAGAGTCTGTGCCCGCTTAAATCTGCATATTTCCACAGATTTTTGAGCCCATGATTAAGTCTATTTGTTTACTCATGTAAATGTATAAATATGTATTTATAAATGTTTTAATATATTTCAGTCACATTGTTAAATTATACGACACATGCTCGTTGTAAAAATGTACCCCCGTATACATTTCTGGAGAGTTCGAATTATGTAGCCAGAGCTATGTAAGGCTGCATTTTGTCTTAAAAAAATGAACACTACAAGGCGGTATGATGCTTCTTGCGGCTTCTGTTTCTTTTTGCGCTACCAGTTGACTGCTTACCTTTGTGTGCAATGCTTTTCCACTGTTAAAGTTTACCCAGTAGCTCACCACGTACGCTGGCAAACTTGAGATGCAGAGAGGACGTGACCGCGATGGGGTTTGAGTCCGGCGAAGAGCGGTTCCAAAAAGCTGGTAAAACAAAAACAAACGGCAAAAAGTTAAATAAACAAGTAAATAACAGGGTGAGAATGGGGTACGATCTAAAGACGGGGTAAAAATCAGGCAGTTGCGAGTGCTTTTTCTTAATTGCTTTTGAAAACACTGTCAGTTGGGTTTAGGGAAGGGTGTGGGTGCTGGTCAATCGGTTTGTAATAAAGTTAGATGGGGAAGGAGTCGGAGAACGGACAAACTTTTAAATCATTTCTAATAAAAAAATAAGTCGGCGCCAGTGGTGTAGTGGTTAGTGCATTGACACATGGACTCTGATGCTCAAGGCGACCTGAGTTTGATTACCGCCTTGCGGACCTATGCCGATCCTTCCCCTCTCTCTGCTTCCCATGCTTTCCTGTCAATTCCCTCTACTGTCCTATGCAGTACAGGTAAAAACCCTGAAAAATTAATGATAAAATAATAAACAAATAAAAATAAAACAGAAACTTAAAGTAAAAGTAAAACATAAAGTGTCCACGCCTGGTCCTCTCTCGCCATCCACTGCTGTCCTTTTATTATCCAGGGCTCCCACCGTGGCCAGTGTGTGGCTCAGGTGTTTCGCATCAACACTCAGCCGACAGCCTCATTCCGTTCCCATGACTATCGGCCACACCCACTCGCCACACAGTCTTTTTGAAGACACTATTGGTTAGGTTTAGGGAAGGGGGTGGATGGGGTATCGTTCGGTCAGCCAGTCGACAGCGACTTCTGGTGGATTTACGCAAGAACAGCAGGCGCGAATGGCACTTGTGAGAGAAATTGGAGACCTGAAATGCACACACAGCGGCCTCTGGTGGATTCGCGAAAACAAAAACTGAAGAAAATTTACCTTCTAGGACATACTTTCACTGCCCAGAAATGTATACAGGGGTACATATCAATAATGAGCCAATGTTAGAATTATATAGAATCTTGTATTAGATATATGAAAGAATTTCTTTACCAAACAAGTGCTTCTAATTAGATTTGCACTGTAAACTTTGACCCATTTAAGCACACCAGCAGCTATAGTTGCCGAATTTCATAGTTGCTAATATAATAAATCCTGTGGAAAATTACTACAAAACATGTTCATAGTGGACTATACTAAACCTTGTGCACTGTTTAAATTTACCACATTTTATTATGTTCGGGATGAAAACATCCACTGAATTTATTTGCTGTAAAAATGCATGAGATACATATTTTTTTTCACAGTTTTTTGCATAAACTTGTTAATCAACCTCAGTCCTGATCAAACCTACTAAATTGTTTAGAAAATGACAGAATTTTAAATCTTTAATTGCCAAGTTCACAACTGATTTCACTGATTTGGTGAACGAAAACACAAAATGACGTATTTTCAATATAAAAAAGTAATTGTGGACGCTATTAAAAAAAATGTATTACAGTCTTGGACAATTTAGTGGATGTTTTCATCCCTAACATAACAAATGGGTTGTAGATTTGCCCAGAGTGTTTTGTTGATTTATTTATTTATTTTTTATTTCAAAGTATTTTTTCAAAATATGTGTAAAAATAAAATTTGTCACCAAAAACCATTCTGCTAGCTGAAACACAGAAAAAGTTATGGCCAAATTAAGACTCAAAATCACCTCAGAGTGGATGAAAACATCCCCAACAGCACACAAGGGTTAACAAAACTACATACATGAAACCATTTGGAAAAATTGATCACAAATGGCTTAAATAAAAGTTTTAAAAGTTACTATACTCAAATCATAAGTTTGCTGATTTTATTTTATTTTTTACATAATTCTGCTCTGAAATGGTTAAAAAATTCAACAGATTCTGTCTGGCCCTGCCTATCATTGAAGTGTTTCTGTAAAAAAAATGCTATGCTTTATATGGTAACATTTAAATATGTATATATTGTTTAAATTTCACCATAAATAAGATTTTCTTGCATGTACAGTAAAGGTTGCGTAGCTGTTAAAGTTTCTTCAGGGCACCATTGATGGTGGTAAAGAACCTTTATTTATCAGAGCATTCCTTCATGATGGTCATTTACAGTGTTATTCGTATCTGC